GGCACTGAGCCCGCTGACAGGGAGAAGAATGAGACCACTGGACAGCCTTAGCTGGGGGCCAGCCGGCTTCTGGCTCCCGTGGGACAGGCCGAGGCTTTACACTCCAGTTGCCCTGGGTCTGGCTCTGCCTGTGGGCATGACACAGCCACAGCATGTACTCAAGAGGCAGCCCCAGCCCCAAAGAGGGCTATGACTGTGGGGCTAGATTGTGGGGCTTATATATGACCTCCGCCATGCAGGATGCCTCAGTTGCCTCAGGTTACATGGAAGTTGATCTTCTATGGACGCTCGTGTAATCCCGGATAATCTTCATTTAAACACAAGCCACAAACGGTTCAGTCACGCCGAGCTCCTTCGGCGCTTCCTCTCACGGGCTTCCGTCCTGCCCTCCTCGCCTTGAACTAGAATCTTCCTCCCCTGCTTTATGGTGGCGAGAAAGGACATAATCACTTCCATAGCAACCAACTGTGAAGGCGCAAACGGGGGCTGATGGCTTCAGGTGGGGAATAAACAGCAGAGACGCAGATGAATCCTTGAAGAACGCATTTGCACGCCAGCGTCCTTTGTAATAAAGAGCCGGCGAGGAGAAAGACAGAAAATTTAGGATGGAGGGGGGGGCTGAATAATTTCCTCGTCGGATGTTTTTCAGCTTTCCATGAGATGTCAGCCGTCCTTTAAATCTGCCATGCTTTATATCGCCCGCAGCGGAGTGGGGATTGAAAACGGAAGATCTTTTCCCGAGCAATTTCAAGGCACTGCGAACGGGGCTTCATTCTTCCTGCTCCCAGCAGCGGAGAGGGGAGAATCAGACCTGAACCTCGGCATGGCGGGAGAGCTTCCCTCCAGCCGCCCACAGCAGTGCAGTCTCAAGGAATGAAACTTTCCCAAAAGGACACTTTTTGAGTAACCTGCCTTCCCGTTTAGCTAGGCGCCTGCTTTCATTGCAGTAGTGCCCGAGGGACTCAAACCCCCACCAATTCCCAGCACGCCGGGCCCTAGGAGCAGACCGAGGGCCAGAGAGAAGGCCGCCAGCCCTTGAAACGTTACCAGGAATCTCAAGACGTAGCTTTACGCAGCCCTGGCTTCGGGAGCCGGTGGAGTATGATGGGGAATTTCAAACTGAAAACCTCGTCCTTCTGGGTGTGATAAAAAACGTGCAATGTGGGCATCCCCTTCCCCAACCCCCAAATATCTAGGGTTCCGCTTCCTCGTCAGCAAAGCTCAGGAAAAGCGGCTGTAGGAGCTGGGTAGTCTCGCTTTTTAAAAGAACCTCAAGCAGGGTTACGTGTGCCCCCCGGCGGGAAGACACAGAAACCTGCCAGCTCACCCAGGCTGCTCCTGGGAACCCTGGGTTCTTAGCCCCCTTTGTGGGCTTCAGATTTGAGCCTCAAAAATCAGGGGCTTCTGCTGAAGAGTTTGGGTCACCCAGGGGGTGGCTGAGCTGGAAGCTGCAGCTGGTGCCCACAGACAGCAGCTTATCTCCAAGAAGTAGAGCCTGCAGGAGCTCTCTCCCCTTTCTCCAGGGCCTAGCTGGTACCACCCCCTCCCTAGCCACCTGGAAGGAGTAGGGTGCTCACACTTCCCCTCTCGGAAGCTGCACCCCGCCCCACATTGAAAACCCACCCCCAGCCTGCACCCCAGTCTTTGCAGGAACGCAGGTCATGGCAGTGATTGAACTGAGGGGCGTGTGAGCTTATAGGGCTCATCCCTACCACTTGTGCTGCAGAGATAGCAATGCGAGTACTCCCTTCGCTCAAGAGGGCTTAGCCTGGTGATGCTTCGGCCGCTGTTTCTTTAAGAGGCCCAGGCAAGCAAAAGCAGGGATGCTGGCGAGAGAAGAGGGCCGGGGGGCAGAAGGGTGTCTGTGGGTGGGTGCCTGGCTGCAGGGCGACAGGTGAGTTTGCCATTCGGTGTCTGGCGTTGTTGCAGAGCGCCAGGCCGCACCGACTAACGGAACGGTGTGGCTGGGCTCAGATCACGAAGGGAGGAGGAAAGGTCTCCGGGGATGGGCTCAGCCCGGGAGGCCCAGCCTGGGGTGTGGCACCAAATGCAGGAGCAGGCAGGCTGCAAAGCAGACAGGGCCTCAGCAGTAACAGCCGAAAGGGATTTGAGCTCCCGTGCTGAGTAGCTGAGGGAGGTGGGGGGGAAGGAGCCATGGGAGGGAAGAGGGACATCTGAAAAGAACTTCTCAGGCTTTCTGTTGTCAGGTGGCGTGGGGGATTGTGCTATTCCCAGCAGTCAGTGTGGGTCAGAGGGGTACCAGGTGGCTGCGGTCCTGGACTGCCTCCCTATTCCAGTCAGTTGGGTGTGGTTTGAAAACACCCCGCCCCTTCTGTGCATGGCCAAGGGTTTCAAAAGCACCTGGGCAAATTTAAAAAGCCAACAGACCAGGGAAACAAACCGACACGAGTTGTAACCAGCGTTCCCTGTAAGCTGAGCGCTTGAGTGGTCGCCCAGGGGAGATTCAGATGCCACCCGGCTGGTGAGCAGAGCGCCCGCAGTCGCCAGCACGTGTGTCTTCTGGTGGTGCACATCCACACACGCCTTGGTGCACATAACAAAATGCATTCTGCACTTGGATGGGAAAACGAGAGGGACCATTGGTCAGAACCAGTGCACCTTAGAGCAGTGGCGGGATTCTGGGGGCCCACCAGGCAGGGCCAGTGTTTGACACGGTGGGGCCCCAGGCAGAAAGTTGAAGCTCCACCACATGGAGCTGAAAGCTGAGAACCGTGGCTTTGTGGAGGCGCATGGGGTAGTGGGCAATTGCCCTGCTTCTTACCCTCACATGCCGGCCCTGGCTTTTATGTGCAGACACCCAGTTGTTATGGCACAGGTGGGTTGGTGTTTGTGTAGCGTGACGGAGGGGTCTCCGGAGGGGGGAGGTGGTTAAAACCCCCCCGTGCTAGAGCAAATGGATTGAGCATTCAAACAGACAACACCCCCCCAAATCATACTGTGGAAAAAGGTGGGAGGAGCAGGAGAAATCTTGCCTAACGTTCCATCTCAGGTGTGTTGTAAGCAAAAAAGGTATCAACAGGTGTGTTGTAAGCAAAACTCGTGAAGTCATCCTGCCGCTCTCCTCTGCACTAGTTAGGCCTCAGCTGGAGTACTGTGTCCAGTTCTGGGCGCCACATTTCAAGAAAGATGTGGAGAAATTGGAAAGGGTACAGAGAAGAGCGACAAGAATGATTAAAGGTCTAGAGAACATGACCTATGAAGCCAGGCTTCATGAACTGGGCTTGTTTAGTTTGGAAAAAAGAAGATTAAGGGGGGACATGATAGCAGTTTTCAAATATCTAAAAGGGTGTCACAAGGAAGAAGGAGAAAATTTGTTCCTCTTGGTTACTGAGGACAGGACAAGGAGTAATGGGCTTAAAGTGCAGCAAGGGAGGTTTAGATTGGACATTAGGAAAAAATTCCTAACTGTCAGGGTGGTCAAATATTGGAATAAATTGCCAAGGGAGGTGGTGGAATCTCCCTCTCTGGAGATATTTAAGAACAGGTTAGACAGACATCTGTCAGGGATGGTGTAGGTGGAGCTTGGTCCTGCCTTGAGGGCGGGGGGCTGGACTCGATGACCTCTCGAGGTCCCGTCCAGTCCTATGATTCTCTACCCCCCTGCTGAAAACTGTGTACGACTGGAAATCGTGCTGGGCACACGCCTGTCTCCCCGGCTGTGTGCAAACGCTCAGCACTGTCCAGGCCCTCCCCGAGTTACACACGTCTTACTTACAAACACAAGCTCCCCTGCAGCCTCGGGAGCAGGCCAGAGGCAGAGGGGGTGGCCAGAGGGGATGGGAGGAGCTAGGGGATGCCCAAAAGTCCTTTTCAGAATCTCCGCCTACCTCCGTGTCCTCCCAATTAAACCCGCCTTTCCCCAAGCACCAGCACTCACCGTTTAAACCCCTCTATTTCCACTCTTTTTCATTGCAAATATTCAGGATTTCAGCTACATTGTGGGTTCAGTAAGACCTTTGTGAGCTAGCCTGGGAATCTCACCAGCATTTCTAACATGGTTTGTAGGGGAACATGCGTTCTGGGTGCCAAACAACCGACTGACAATTGAATTTGTGGACACTGCCCACCCATCAGTTGGGAACTTCCTGTACTGAGGAATGCTCGGTAGCTGAGGGTTTGGTTGTAGCAAGCTGTCAACTCCGGGGTTGCCCGGCTGATAAGACTTTACACGAAGGAGGGCGTTTTGAAGGGCGGGCTGTATAACCCACTGGATGGAATAAGCAAGCTCTGGCTGTCAGGGTACGTCTAAACTACATGGCTCCATCGACGGAGCCATGTAGATTTGTTTGTTTGGCAAAGGGAAGTGAAGCTGCGATTTAAATAATTGCGGCTTCATTTAAATTTACATGGCTGCCGCGCTGAGCTGACAAACACCTGATCAGCTGTTTGTCGGCTCAGCGTGCTAGTCTGGACGTTCCCCTGTTGACATGAAAGCCTTTTATCGACCTCCCTGGTAAACCTCATCCTACGAGGCATAACGGGGAGGTCGATAAAGGGCTTTCAGGTCGGCGTGGGAGCGTCCAGACTAGCACGCTGAGCCGACAAACAGCTGATCAGGTGTTTGTCGGCTCAGCGCGGCAGCCATTTAAATTTAAATGAAGCCGCAATTATTTAAATCGTGGCTTCATTTCCCGTTGCCGATCAGCCTTATCTACATGGCTCCATCGATGGAGCCATGTAGTTTAGACACACCCTCAGAGTTCTCGGGCACAGCGCTTTTAGAAACAAGGGGCTCTTGTAGAGTCGATGGGTTCCCTTCTGGGACGGTGGGATATATCCTAGGGGAAGCACTCAGAACGCGGCTGGCTCCAAACTCTCTGTACCTCCATAATTCAGCCCTGAGCCACGTCAGACAGAGGGAAGGGAGTCTGGTCGCCATAGTTAAGGATGCGGCTGTGTGTGTGTGTGCATGACAGAGGCTTGGATCAGACTCCGTTCTCGTGAATTTCTCCTCATTCTCTCTCTCTCTTTTCTTCTAGTTCCTCCCCAGATTATCAACATCTCCTCAGACATCACCGTGAACGAAGGCAGCAGCGTAACTCTCATGTGCCTGGCCTTTGGGAGACCAGAGCCTACCGTGACATGGAGGCACCTGTCTGGAAAAGGTAAGAGGCCACCTTGATACATACCTGGGATTTCAGGCATCTGAGATGGCTCTGGAGGGACTAGGTACAGGGGGATTGCTCAATTTTTCTTCCTATATGTATCTCTGTATATGCCAGTGCCCTTAGCCCTAAGTTCTCGATAGAGTGCCTTGAAGGGCAGTGATAAGCATGGCACCTAAGTCAGCAGGACTTTTTGGCTGGGTGGGGGGAATGATGGAGGGGGGGGTTCTGCCTGATTTGCTGTGTGGTCTTGGGCCAGTTATTTAACCCCCACTGTGCCTCAGTTTCCCCATGTATAAAATGGCCAGCATGGAACTTGTAGGGGCCAGTTACTTAACCCTGTTGTGCCTCAGTTTCCCTATGGGTAAAATGGCCACCGTGGAACGTGTATGGGACTAATTACTTTTCCTCACTCTGCCTCAGTTTCCCCACCGGTACAATGGAGATTGTGGCACTGTCGAGGGACATAGTAAGGCATAACAGAGTGTTTGTAAAAATCTTTGAAATCTGTGGCTGCATGAACACAAAGTCGTGTGCATTTAGATGTTTGTTTCCTGGGTGAAGCTTCTAAGTTCCTGCTTAACAGGGGCAGCGAGGGGTTAGCCCCGTGACATGGGGGCGCTGCTGCACAAATAGGGAAATGGAGGTGCGGAGCTGTGACATGACTTGCCCAAAGATACACACAATGGGGGATATTCCAGAAAACACCATCCTAGCCACCATGGATGTAGAGGTTCTCTACACAAACATCCCACATGCAGATGGAGTACAAGCTGTCAGGAACAGTATCCCTGATGATGCCACAGCACAACTGGTGGCTGAACTCTGTGAATTTATCCTCACACACAACTATTTCAGATTTGGTGACAACATATACCTTCAGACCAGTGGCACTGCTATGGGCCCCCGCATGGCCCCACAATACGCCAACATTTTTATGGCTGACCTGGAACAACGCTTCCTCAGCTCCCGTCCACTTATACCCCTTCTCTACCTACGCTACATCGATGACATCTTCATCAACTGGACCCATGGGAAGGAGACTCTGGAAGAATTTCACCATGATTTCAACAGCTTCCACCCCACCATCAACCTCAGCATGGACCAATCTACACGGGAGGTCCATTTCCTGGACACCACGATACAAATAAGTGACGGTCATATCAATACCACCCTATACAGAAAACCTACCGACCGCTATACTTACCTGCATGCCTCCAGTTTCCATCCCGGACACACCACACGATCCATTGTTTACAGCCAAGCACTGAGGTACAACCGCATATGCTCCAACCCCTCAGACAGAGACCTACACCTACAAGACCTTCAACAAGCATTCTGTAAACTGCGATACCCACACGAGGAAGTGAGGAGACAGATTGACAGAGCCAGACGTGTACCCAGAAGCCTCCTGCTACGGGACAAGCCCAAGAAAGAAACCAACAGAACACCACTGGCCATCACCTACAGTCCCCAGCTAAAACCTCTCCAACGCATCATTAGCGATCTTCAGCCCATCCTGGACAATGATCCCTCGCTCTCACAGGCCTTGGGAGGTAGGCCGGTCCTTGCCCACAGACAACCCGCCAACCTGAAGCATATTCTCACCAGCAACTACACACCGCACCATAATAACTCGAACTCAGGAACCAATCCTTGCAACAAACCTCGGTGCCAACTCTGCCCACATATATACACCAGCAACACCATCACAGGACCTAACCAGACCAGCCATACTGTCACTGGTACATTCTCCTGCACATCCACCAACGTAATATATGCCATCATGTGCCAACAATGCCCCACTGCTATATACATCGGCCAAACAGGACAGTCCCTACGTAAAAGAATCAATGGACACAAATCTGATATTAGGAATGGCAACATACAAAAACCTGTAGGGGAACACTTCAATCTTCCTGGACACACAATTGCAGATCTAAAAGTAGCCATCCTGCAGCAAAAAAACTTCAGGACCAGACTTCAAAGAGAAACTGCTGAGCTACAGTTCATCTTTAAGTTTGACACAATCAACTCTGGATTAAACAAAGACTGTGAATGGCTTGCTAACTACAAAAGCAGCTTCTATTCTCTTGGAATTCACACCTCCAGATCAGCTGCTAGAAGTGGGCCTCATCCTCCTTGATTGGATCCACCTGGTCATCTCCAGCCTGATCCTGGCCTGCATATTTATTCCTGCCTCTGGAAATTTCCACTACATGCATCTGACGAAGTGGGTCTTTGCCCACGAAAGCTTATGCTCCTACACTTCAGTTAGTCTATAAGGTGCCACAGGACTCCTCGTCGCTTTTGCAGATTCAGACTAACACGGCTACCCCTCTGATACTTGACACAATGGGGGATGAAACTCTAGAATCCCGATTCCCAGTTTTCTCCTTTAACTACTAAATCTCACTTTCTTCATAGGACGCTGGCTGTTGGGTTGTTTCATAGGCTATTCTCTGTGTGTTCATATACCTACCAAACGCTGCATCTCTGAGTCTTGCTACGGGTACCCAAGGCTGGGCAGCATCTTGCTACCACCTGCTCTTTTGGTGTCTGTGTCTTCATGGGTCTTGTCCCCTACAGCACTGGCCACGGCAGACACAAGCCCTTCCCTCCTGGCCTTGCTGCTCACGCCGTCACTTGAGGGGTTGCAATAGGTACAGTCCCCCCCGGAGCTCTCTGAGCATCTCTCTGGAACATCCGGCCCCTGGTCTCCTGGCAGTATTCATTGATCCATTGCTTTCAAAGAAAGCGGCCAGCCAAGCTTACCGGTTCCACGCTAGATCACTGCTCCACTTCACTCGCGGCGCTTACATTAGTTTATAGTGACATCGAGGATAAAATGATCTAACAAAGCACCGAGATTCAAGTTGCAGCAAGTGTTGGAAACAAACAGTTACATTAAAAAATCAACTGTAACGCGCCTTTTACAGCCTGGACTAAATGAACCAGATGCTCTCGTGTAGTGGAGAATGGCTCACCCAACGTCCCTTGAGTGCTTTACAGACAGCCTCTTCTTCCATGAGGCAGGCACACGGGCAGTTTGCCTCTTAGGCATGTGTTGCTTTGTATTCCCAGGCTTTGTCTAACACTTAAAAGTTCAGAGCACGGCCATAGCAGAGCCTGAAACTGAACATGTGGTTACTCCATGTTAACCACCTCCATGAGGGGAGCTACGGGTGTTTTTTCACACCCTTGAGCCAGACAGTTACAGCGCGGTAAAGTGCCCCAGTAGATTTAGTCCAAGATTTACCAACCGATTCTTTGTCTTTTTTGTAAAGAGGTAACCCCTCCCCGCAGTGTTTGTTTCTTCCAGTGGAATTCCTTTCTTGTCGATTTTTACAGTCTCTCCATTCTCACCTGGCTCAGTGTGCTAAGAGGTGTATAAGGTACAAGCGTCCAGACATGGGATCGGTGTCAGGTACTTCCTGCTCAAAAGGAGCATCTCCCATAAACCCAAGGCATCAGTTTCTGTTTAGGTGCATCACTCCTTCAACCTTATCTGTCTGCATCTTTTCACACGATTACGACAACGAACTGGAAACACACCTTCTGCAGAGAGCTCACATGCCAACATCTCACCCAGGGATCAGCGTAGAACTCTATGCACCCTCTGCCAGCTGGCCCCAAGGAGCCCTTGGGTCACAACCACCAGTGTGAATATTGAGAATGCTCCACTGCGGTGGTGAGCGTGCATGCCCATGTGTAAGTTTGCACACATGCACACACATACATGTTCTTCACCTCCTCCTTTTCATGAGCCGAGGAGTTAAAAATACAAGCAATCATAGGCAATCAACCCATCATGTTGCTTTTCTACCTTTGACGTGGCCTGGCAGCTGCATCCACTTTACTATGAATCTTGAAGCATAATTTTTTAACTACACTACACACCGCTAGACCCACTGTGTCTTAGCACAGCAGGAAACCAAAGTAAAAGGACATTGCCACTGTAGAGTTCTTGTAAGTGAAGGCCTAATAGCACCGACTGGGGTGAGGGATACGGTGCATAGGAGCTGTACAACCGGCATCCACTCAGCTCTGTTGAAGTCTCTGAACTAGTCCTGACCTGCCACCCAAAGCCTGCCACTCCGGCCCTGTGCGCCGTACGCTCCTGGGACTGCATCTCAGTTCTGAACCCGGAGTCCAGTTCCAATTTGTCAGCAGAGGCCTGAAATGGCAGCTGTCAGGCAGTGACTGATGTGATGACTTTCTGCCATGTGCCCAGCACATGAAGGGTCACTCCTAAGTAAAGCAAAGTCTATATTGCCACTGGAGGGCGCTGCAGCTTTCCGGCTCACCCCCGCGCAGCAAGTGGTCGCACTCCCAGCGCTGTTAGCTCCGCCTTTTGTGGGGGTGGTTTATAAAGGGCGCCGGAAGAGTTTGTGCTATTCCCACACTCTGGCGCTTTAATTTTAGACGTGTAGGCAAAGCCTAAATGTGCATCCCAGATCTCCTCTGATGGGATACAAATGACTCTTGTGTGGGACTCAGGAGATCTGGGTTCAAGTTCTGCCTTTTCTTCAGACCATCTGGGTGATTTAGGTAATTCACTGCTCTACTCTCAGCCTCAGTTTCTCCAGCTGTAAAATAGGAACTCTCATATTTCCCTGCTAACCTGTCTGCGCCTCCTCTACTTAGATGGTGCCAGGACTGTTTTTTACAGTGTGTCTGTACAGCATCTAGCACAACGAAATCCTGATTTCTACTGGAAGCTCTAGATGCTCTTGTAATACACGTAATCCTCAGCAGTTCCATACATACAAGATGGGAAGCAACTGTCTAGGAAGGAGCATGGCAGAAAGGGATCTAGGGGTCATAGCGGACCACAAGTTGAATATAAGTCAACAGTGTGATGCTGTTGCAAAAAAAGCAAATATGATTCTAGGTTGTATCAACAGGTGTGTTGTAAGCAAAACTCGTGAAGACATTCTGCCGCTCTACTCTGCACTAGTTAGGCCTCAGCTGGAGTACTGTGTCCAGTTCTGGGCGCC